GGCCTCGCCGCGCGCGCACCTCGCCCCTCGAAGGGAGACGCGCGGGTGACTGACCAGTGGGTCTCTGCAGGTTACCAGTGACCCCGAAAGCGAGCGGTGGTTCACACAGCGCCTCCTCCTCCTGCCTCTGTACTTTCTGGTACTGAGCAGCTGCGGGACGCTGCACAGCTTCTGTGCCCTCCTTGCACCATCGAGTTGTAGTCTGTAAAATGGGGACGTAATAGTATTACAACTAGCTCATGGGCTTGTTGTGAGGATCCAAATGAAATAATTCATGAAAAGTGCTCATTACAGTGACTGATGGTTAGTTAGTAGGGGCCTTAAAATATTACTGTTGTGGGGCCGGGGATTTAGCTCAATGCTTTTGCCGCCTGCCTCTCAAATACAAGGTCCCGAGTTCAAACCCCCGACAAAAAAAAAAAAAAAAAAGTTACTGTTGTTTGTACTACTGCAATTGAGAATCCTGTCCATAATACCAGCGGCTCTCTTCAGCCCAAGGGTTGCTCCTGGGGCTGTGGTTGTTGCTCTCAGGAGCAAGGGCGATCGTTTGACAACTCGACAGTACCCAGACTGGGTATTGAACCCAGGACCTTTGCATTAAGCTACATTTGACAGTAATATTTTTATTTTTATTTTGAGTCAGGATCTTGCTAAATCACTGGGCTGGAACTTGCTTTTTGACCTGCCTGCTTCAGCCTTGTGAAGTACAGGGATTGCAGGCATGGCCCGTCACACCCCACAGGTTTCCTATTCTTAAACAAAATCTGCAAAAGGTGTAACATGCCTGAGACAGCTGCTGCTGGATATGTGCAGCCCGGAAGCCAAACTAAGCGAGGTGCTGGGAAGTTGAAGGTTCTTTCTCTCTTTTCTTTGCTTCTTTTTTAAAAGATAAAGCTTGGCCTCTATTACTGGAGGTGACACAGACGGGAACTGAGGTCATGGAGGAGTGGGTAGGATGTTGTTTTAACATGGTGTTGCTGTGGAGGTTTGTTTTGTTTTTTCTTTGCTCTTCTTTTTTCTCTCTCTCTCTTTTTTTTTTTTTTTTTTTTGAGGGAACATTAGCTTGCTCTTACTGTTCATTGACCGCTATATGTAGAGTAGTGAAAGAATGAATTATGGAAATAATGAGCTATGAATTATAAAAAGGCTAGCCAATGCCCACCATTTGGACACAGCGTTTTGGATTGTGGATTCTCCAGTGTCACTTGTTAGTCAGCTTTCCATTGTGATAATGAAATGTCAGTGTTTTAGTTATTTCTCTCGTAGCTGGGACAAAATATCCAACACCAACAATTTAACAAAGGGGAGGTTTATTTTGGTTCACGTTTCAGTCCGAAGTTGCCTGGCTGCAGGAGAGTAGCATGACAGAGAGGCGTGGTGGAAAACAGCCGCTCTTCTCATGGCAGAGGGAAGCAGAGCTAAGGGAGGAGCCAGGAAGGGAGGAGCCAGGAAGGGAGGCCTTCACCATTTTGCCCATAATGAAACCTATTCTGACCAGGCCCTGCTGTAATGCCCCCATAATTTGGTTATCTTCCAGCGGTCCCACCTATGACTGCATGAGGCTTTATTGGGGGCATCTAGGCATAAACTGCAACAATCACCTTTTTAGTTTGGAAAGAGAAAGGGTTTGTTTTGGCTCGTACTTTTAGATCCATGGTCAGTTGACCCTGTTGCTTTGGGCCTGTGGTAAGGCTGCACGTTATGGGGAGCACACAGTGGAGCAAACCATTTACGTCTGACCTAGGGAGAAAAGAAGAGTGAGGAGAGGGCTGGGGGTCATACAGTCCCCTTTGAGAGCACACTCATAATGACTCAAGGACCTCTCCACCTCCTAAAGGCCCATAGTACTACCCTAGGGACCATGCTTTTAACATTTGGGGGCATTCAGCATCTGAACTATGGCAGTATTGCTCCTTTGGAAAGCTGTTCTGATTGTCATTGTGGTGAGGTGATCTCTGCCTTCTCAGAACCCGAGGACCGCTTGGTCTTGGCTTCACTGACCATCTACAGGGTCAGACAGTCACTTCTATACGTGTCTTGTTCCTTCCTTACACTAAGCTTTTTCTGGGCACGACTCACTTCTGCAGAAGTACATAGCACAACGTCACACTCTTTATCTGTGCAGTACTCAGCACATGTCACCTTCAGGGAAATGTTTTTCTTTGATTTAGCAAGTGTTTTAGATACTATGCATCAGGCTCTCTACTAGGTTCCAGAGAAACAGACACAATAGACAGACCTTCCTCTTGTGAATCTTATGGTGTCTGGTGGATGAGATTGACATTAATAAATGATAAAGAAATGAACACACAGGTCCCGCTGATGATGTGTACTTATGCAGAAAAGTACATGGAATTGTGTCTGAAGATGGTGGGGATGCTGCTGAAATTCCAGAGGTTGATCTTCAGGAAGGCTTGCCTAAAGAAGAGGCATTTGCGACAGGATAGCTGAAGAATGAATAGGATTTTCCAGGCAAGCTGTGTATGTGATACTTTCTTTCTTTTTTTTTTCCCCTCCTCATTGAGTTTATTGGTACATTTTAGGTATATAGTACAGTTATATTCATCATTGGGATCTTGTACCTTTACACGACAGGTCTTGCTTCTCATTTTGTGATACTTTCTAATACAGTATCATATTTAACCCCTTTCTGCAGACCCAGGAAGTCCTTAGGATTGATTTGTCACTTCACAGCAGTGTGGAGAATCTGAGGTTCACAGAGCTCTAAGCAACTTCTTCAAGTTCCCAAAGCTGGCAGGTGGTGAGCAAGGCCTGCCACTCATCTGAGCCCAAGGCCCACACCTCTGACCACCAGGCTGTTCTGCTTTGCATATTATGCACACTCGATGAGGGGATGAAATGTTTCAGAATCAACTCTGCCGGGTTCTTTATCCAGTCTCAGTCTTTATTTGTGTGATGTCTCAGGGTCTGCTCATCTGAGTGGGTCTGTTGGGTCTGATACAAAGATAAGGCTTTGATGTGTGTTAGGGTGAAAGCATAGAGTGTTTCAGTTGTCCATTACCATATGATAGATGGCTCCAAGAGTAAAGGATTTAAATCAGTGAGGGGCTTAAGGTTCTGAAGAGTCTTGTGGGTTGACTGTGCTCACGAGGTTGATGTGTGTGTGTGTGTGTTTGTGTGTGTGTGTGTGCGCGCTGCGTGAAATAGCTCTGGCCGTTTAGGTGACTGCCTTCAGTTAGGATCTGGTGTAATCCTCCTCACTCCTTCCTTCCATTCCCTCCCTTCCTTCCTGTTCTCCTCCTCCTCCTTTCTCAATCCGCCTCTCTCTCTCCCTCCCCCTACTTACTGTCCCCCTCTCCCTCTCTTTCTCTGAGTTCCTCTGTGTAGTCCAAGCCGGGCATGAACTCACAATTCTCCTGCCTTGGCCTGAGTGCTGGGATGACAGGTGTGTGGGGTCCAAATGCCTGGCTCACAGTAAGAACTGAGGCTGTTTTGGAAGGCAAGGCTGAGGAAATAGGAGGCAAATGTTTGTCTAAAGTCTAACAATGAGACAGTGTTAACACGTACAGCTCTACACTTCGTTCTTTGTGTTCATTCATAAAGCAGCCCTTCACAAAGAGATTGCCTGGGAGGAGCTACATGACTATATGTTGTTGATGAATCTATTTGCTGTGAATTTCACTATGTTATTTGAATCCAAGAACCAGAAGTCAGTAGACCTAGACTTTAGTCACTGTGTGCTTACTGTTAGGTTGGGTGACTGTGAGAAATGCTTTTCACTATTGTACCATGTCCTTGTGCAAGTCTGAGTAGGCATCATTTAGGGATCTGCTCCATGAACTTACAGTGCGTGGGGCGAGCAGAAAGTAAATGGAACTGTTTATGCAAGTTAAAAAAAGGATGTTCCTTTTCCTAGGTAGCCCTGTGCCGGCTGGTCTTCTTCCCTGGGAGACCTTATACAGTGAGCTAGCTACACACACACAGCTGTAGAAAGCAACACTATTTTCTCATCTGTGACATGGCAGTGCCATTTAGCCCCTCTCTACCTCATAAGATTGTTGTAAGGATCAGAAATGTAACAGTTTGATAATCAGATATTTTTTATAAGCCTAAGGTAGTAAGAATTATCTTTTGGCAAAATATGCTTTTATTTTTCTTTTCATCTTTATGTATTTTTTTTCAAAGCAAAGCACTTGGCAGAAGGGACAATCACATGAGGATCTCTGGGAAGCATTTGGTCTGATTTTGCACAGTGGTATGTTTGAAGCTGCTTTGGAACTGAGGAGGTTCTATTTTAAATAGAATCTACTGATCTATGGCTTTTGGTATGTTAGGAGTTGCCTTCCAAGTTACAATACATTACTATTTTTAAAACTGGAAGAATGTTTGTTCTTCTTACATTGCCTTTTGGGTACCACAGGCAAAATATTAGCTGTATGCTTTCAAAAGATAAGTGGGACCCTGAAAACAAACAATACAAGTAAGTACTCTTTGTTCATGGAATATAGTGTTTCTCAATGAATTCTTCATGGAAGAATGCTATGAAACCCAGAAAAGTTTATTCATCAGATGGTCAACTGTACTTTCCATGAACTGTTCGTGTCCATGCACTTCACAGTGTATTTAGGTTTCTTTCTTTGACTCTTAAATGTCTAGCTCGCATCACTTACAGCTGTTTCCTTCCTTTTACTTAAGATCATTTATGAAGAGAACACGATGTTTTGCAGATGAAGGTAGCAGTGGGGAAGATCTGACTTTTCTGGAAGCTTACATAGACCTTTTAATGAGCTTGCTTTCATGAGCTGGATTCAAAGAGACCTTACATTTCATCCACATGGAATTTCAAGTCAATGTATCGACTGGGTCTTTTGGTTTGTATCTAAATGAGGCCAAAGAAGTTGATGCTTTTCTTATGAAAAGAATGGCGTTCTTCAGGTTGACTTTCTTTGTGTGCTATAGGCAAAAGAGTCATTTGAATAGTGTGTACACTACATGGGCAGGGATTTTCGTTATTCGTTTTAACTGTATCTCAAATACCTAAAGAGATCTTGGAACATAGTAATTATTAAGCTTACTGTTCAATGAATGAATGAAGCTCACTCTTCAGACATTAGCCTTGTATAACTCAGGCTAAAGCTAGTGTATAATTCACAAACATGCCCATACTTTGAATACTGTAATAAAATAAACAGATTAAAGTAATTTCTTTGCTTCAATACATGACCTCACATGTTATTTATTCTAGTTGGGATCCTGATGTGCTGACAAAATGGCTTGAGTGTTTACCCTTAAGCTCATAAAGGGGATTTATGAATGGCTATTTCCATTTAGAGTAGAAAGTTGATTGGGTAATTAATAATGCTTCTATTTCTGGTACTATCTTTTCTTCCTTGAAAATCTGACACGTACATGTGTGCAACATCTCTCCCTGCAGAGGTGCAGAAATATGTAGAGTGAATCTGCCTTTCCAAAATAAATGAATTGATAAAGCACAGGCCTAGTGTAACATAATGGTGATTTATCTTTTTGTTGTGCTGTACCAGTCTTCTTCACTTTTATCTACCTAATCTCAGTTCCCCTAGTGGTGTTATGACAGGAAAGAGAATGGCGCAGATGTGAGCAGCATGGGCCCTGCCATCAGGTTGAATTGCTACCATCCCTGTGAGTGAAGGCCAGTTCACTTTGCTGTGCCTCAGTTTCCTCATATGTAAAATTAGAATGATAGTAACTGTCTTCTGGAGTTGGGGTTAATTAAATTGTGTAATATGTACATTTACATATGATATACCTTGCTTCCTCCTGGCCCACAAAGGTATTTAAAACTGTTTATTGAATAAAGATAATAATTATTTATCATGTTTATTACATACACTTGAAAATAAAAGCCTAACGAAGTAGCCTATAGAAATCTTCCCTAACTTAGAGTTATGAAGTAGGGGAAGAGTAAATGTGAATAAAGATACATATTTCAGTGAAAATTATGTTTTCAAATGCCATTTCAATAAGTTTAGAGTGTACTTAATGACTTATCTAGTGCAGATTGTACCTTAGTTTATAAAAAAGGTCTAGCTATCAAAGTACTAATAGTTACACATTCATTATATGTCAACTAATCGGCATTTATCCTAAGTCCGTGCATTGTTTTGTCCCTGGGAACGTGAAGATAAATGAACAGGAGGATAGATTCCTCAGGGAGTTTGCTGCCAAGGGGAAGAGAGTTAACTTTTGTGACAAAGGTGTTTTCAGGCGGATATGGCAGACCTAAAGTGTGGGACAAGGTTCATATTTTAATTGTAAACCTGTAAAAGCTTTTAAAGTACTTAAGACCAGCTTGTAACTTTTTTTTAAAAGAAGTAAATATTCACCCTGGTGCTTTTCTTCTCTGAGCCAGCGGAATGCATAGGGAAATGTCAGGGACCCAGTTTCTGAATTGGTAGAGCAAGAGCTGAAGAGATTTTGGTAGTCTAGGAAAATTGGAAGTATTAGGTTCTAATAACTTTTAATCATCATTTAGATATTTTTGAATGACAGATAGCTGTTAAGCAATATACTTAATGCCAGACTGTAATAGATTAAAAATCTTTATTTAAACTTAGTGTTTTTATGATTTCTTCTTTTTTATATTTTGCAGTGGATGATCAAACCTAGTACATCATGCATGCTAGGCAAGGTTTATCATCGAGCTACACCCCCAAGCTTTGCTCCATTTTTTAGTACCTCAACCAGCTAGCATTTGTTGAGCATCTGTGTGCTATTATACTTAAGACTGTTTCCTTTAAGTTCTATAACAACTCTTTGAAGTTGTTATTTTCATTTTACAGGTGAAGAAACTAAGCAAGATCAAAGTAATTTGTGCAGGATTCTCAGATGGATTTCAGACTCAGGCTTTTTGGACTCTAAAGCTTATTCTGATTTTTGACATTCTATATATGTTTTTAAATTTTGGTTTATTTTAAAAGCTTTTTATGTAGAAATATTTTGACTTAAAATTGTAAAAGCAAAGAATTCCCTTTACTACCTTCCCCAAACCACAGTAGAATTTTTACTTTCTGTGTATTTCGTCCTAGGGATTAAACCCAGGGCCTTGTACATGTTAGGTTTATGTTCTACCATCAAGCTGCATCTCCAATTTCTAATATTAAAACCATTAACATTATTACAATGCTATTAACTAAATTATAGACTTTATTCAAATGTTGCTAGTTTTCTAATATCCTTTTTCTAGTTGAAGGATTTGATGCAGTATCCCACATTGCATTAAATTGTCATGTGTCAGTCTCCTCCAGATTAGTACAGTTCCTTAGTTTTTCTGTCTTTCTGCACCATGATTATTTTGAACAGTGGTAATTAGTTATCTTGTAGATTTGGGTTTATCTTTAAGAGCATTGGGTGTGTAATTGGATATAGTAGCTCACACCTGTAATCTCTGTTCAGGGACCTGCAAGTTCAAAGCCAGCCTGGCAACTTTATGAGATCCTGTCTCAAAATAAAATTAGAAAAAGCCTGGGGATGTAATTTAG